CTCGAAGATTTTGAATGTATTTATATTTTGTTCTGTAAGGGTGTCTTTTTATAAGGACTGATGATACTTAATATATGATTTTATGTCTTCCGCAAAATAATAATAATATAGAACCACATATGTGCTATAAAATACTTTCTCTGTTTCAAAATAAGTGTCATGAGTTTAGTTCAAGAAACTAAAATCACAGCAAACACGTGGTACACCTACTTGGCTACTTACCAGACGACCAACATGATAGAATTGTAGCAAATCCCAGTTGTTAATTAACTGCAAAATTTACATGTAATTATCTCCATAAATCATATAATTCTTGTTTACCCCATCCTCACTGAATAATGTCCAACAATATGTTTTCTCCGTTCCAAAATAAGTGTCATGGTTTTAGTTCAAAACCACGACACTTATTGTTGAACGGTGGGAGTAGGCATTACAAGGTAGAAAGGCGTCAACTCTCTAAAAAAGTAAAATATTTGTGTGCTTCTTTGTGAAGGGTGAAATATTGTGTTAGAAGAGAGAGAACGTTTTTTTTTCTGTTTTGTGCATGAGAGAGGGAAAGGGTTAGTAGTAGGGTTGTGCGAGATTATATTTTGGTACCCGCTGAAATTACCGAAAGTTTGGTGATTTTTTAATCATATTTTATATTCCCTCCGTTCGAAAATACTTGTCTGAGAAATGGTTGTAAGACAAGTATTTTTCTGACGGAGGGAATACTAGTTATTAGAAATTGATAAAATAAGAAAAAGTGAGTGGAATTTGGTGTTTTTTGGGGAGGAGTGGAATTTGGTGTTGGGGTTGCTGTTGCAAAGCAAAAGAGCAGTCATGAGTGTGGTCGGGGGCGAGCAGCTTGTGAGGCCGTGGTCTGACAGTTCGACCCCACCTGTCAGCCGAACGAGCAGCTCTGTTTATCTCGCCCGTGGACTCTCCCTCTCGGAGACTGCGTAGTGGAACGAGTAAACAGATCTGCTCTCCCTCTCTCTCTCATCCGCGGCGATACGATCCAAGATGGCGATGAGGGCGTGGAGGAGGAGCGCGGCGGCGAGGGCCCCGGCGCACCTGTGCCTGTGGCTGGCGCTCGTCGCCGCCACCCTGGTGCTCGCCCAGGTGCTCATCCACCTCGTCCGTCTTCCGCGAACCCATCCCCTTACTTTTCCGCTTGCCGATTTGTTCGCCGATCTGATCGTTTCTCTGATACGGTTAATCGTTGCCCTCGCGCTGATGTCTGAACCTGTCTGCCGCGGATCCGGATGGCTTATATGTCTTCGGCGCTGCTGATTTGTTAGGGTTTGGTGTGGTTGGTGTCTCTGTATGGGATGCGTACTTACGATTTTCTTCCTTGTTTTCAGGGCAAGAAATCCAACCTGTCTGAGGTGACGCACAAGGTCTACTTCGACATCGAGATCGACGGCAAGCCCGCAGGTCTGTGCTGAACCCCTGGCCACAAATTTGTTTTCATATCAGCGGGATGTATCATCCCAGTATGGGGCAGGCAGTAGACTGCTACTAATACAACCGATATTGCATGCCTGATTCCTAGTCCTAGCCTAGAAAGCACGGTTTGTAGTTACACTTCGAGTGATTCCTTTTGATTAGGATCGTCGAAAAATGTGAGATTGACATTGAAATTGAATTTCCATGTTTAGATGGCTGCACTGCACCTAATTTTGTTTTATGTTTAGTGAGAAAAATATTCACTGGTGTGCTATGCATGTACGTTCTTAATGGTTTAACTCCTTTTCATTGTTTGATTGATCCGCTGGCATTTAAATTGATTCTGAATTGTCATAGGTCGGGTTGTCATGGGACTTTTCGGCAAGGCTGTTCCTAAAACCGCAGGTATCATCTCCTTACTGTTTGAGTTAAAAACCACGTACTCATCTATTGGATGACAGAAATGCTAATGGCTTGATATCTTTTGTTCTACAGAGAACTTCAGAGCACTCTGCACAGGTATGCTTCCCTACCACTTGCGCTGTTTTCTATATGTTATAAGCGTTATGCCGTCTGCTTGTTGAAGTTTCTAGATGATTAGTCTGATGGCAAGGCTGGCTATTGGAATAAAATTTGCTCTATACAATCACAGTTGCTTTGTTATTTTGGCTCACATCTTAAAGTAATTTAGCCAATCAAATGTAATTGGCTTCCTCAGAAAGTCAAAACATAATTGTACAGTGGAAATTATATACTGTAACTAATTTGATGCATGCTATGCTTGTAACATGGAAACGTTGCTTGCCTTTTTCTTATAAAAGAAGGAAGCTATCTGTATTGTTCCCTTGTTATTTCAAATCCAAGTATACCTTTCTAGACACGACAACGTAGAGAGAATGGTGGCAGCCTGTTTGCCTGCAAATTTTTGGGCATGATCTGTTTAAATCCCAAGCTCCCTAGAGCATCATTGAAGGGTTCTAAGTTGTATGTTCTACACAGTCTCTAGTAGTAGCCCTGTGTGTGGATTTTGATTGTTCATCCCTCCTCTACCATGGTTCTAAAAAAAATCCCTGTACCATACAAGTGCCCAAATATGAATGTCAATAAGAAAAAAGAGAAGAAATAGATAACTGGTTGAATTTGTAGTTGGCTGGTGCCTAGCTGAATATATCAGAGTATTTTACTTCATGGAAAAAGGTGGATAAATGTTGTCATACTCTTCATATTCCACCATAGAGTATTACGAAAGCCTATCATTATTTACTGCATATATCATTATATTCAGAATATCTGCTTTATTAGTACTACAGTCTGTATGGTAGCTTGATATCTGCCAGTGGTTGCTGACCATGCCCCACTTAATTGTCATACAGGTGAGAAAGGCATGGGCAACAGCGGCAAACCTCTCCACTACAAGGGGAGTTCGTTCCACAGAATTATCCCCAGCTTCATGATCCAAGGAGGGGACTTCACTCTTGGCGATGGAAGGGGCGGTGAATCAATCTATGGCACAAAGTTCGCCGATGAGAACTTCAAGCTCAAGCACACTGGACCAGGTAATGATCCGTGTTTCTTGAAATCCAGTTCCAACTGCAAGTGAACGATAGAATGATAGCCGGGGTTAAGATGTCCTCCTTTTTCATTGACTGGTTGTTGGTGCAGGCTACCTTTCCATGGCCAATGCTGGGAGAGATACCAATGGATCCCAGTTCTTCATCACCACTGTAACCACGAGCTGGTAATTTTCATGACTCTGTGATTGCAGCAGTTTGTACTAAGCCTTTTATTCTGCTTGAACTTTGTTGTTGATGATCTACATTTTGTATGTTAGGTTGGACGGCAAGCACGTCGTGTTCGGCAAGGTGTTGTCTGGAATGGACGTGGTCTACAAGGTTGAGGCCGAGGGCAAGCAGAACGGGACGCCAAAGAGCAAGGTTGTCATTGCCGACAGCGGTGAAGTGCCGCTGTGATGAGACCTGAAATGGGCTCTGGTGGAAGCTACGGTGACTAGTTTTCGTTGTAGAACCGTTACTAGCCGGTCTGTTTTTTGTTTTCGTGTACTTTCGTGTGAAATTCAGACGACAAGGATTCTCTTGCTATAAGAAAGTATAATGACTTGCCTACCCGTGATCTGGCTGGCAACTTTGAAGGCATCACACACCACCGTTTTGTTGTCAGCATCTCTTTTTCTGCATATTTGCTGGGGTTATTTACCTCAGAGAAAGTGCCGTTATGCGCCTTTTAATCTGAACGATAAATGTTCATCAGCAAACAAAATATTCCTGCTTAGTACCTTCGTTGGAAACGCATGAATCTAACAGTAATTCTATACTGTAAAAAATCTCTGTAGAAACACTTCCGGCCTTTATAATGAAACAGCTCACACTTTTCTAGCCTGAAAGCAGTTCAAGCACTGCCCCTATGGGTCTATCCAAATGCTGCACCTTTGTGTCGATAAAGCTCCACCACCGGCCCCGTAGAGGAGAAGAATCTCCAACAAACCTCAACCACCACACACTACAGTAGCTTATTTTTTTTTTGACGCGCACAGTAGTATTCTCTTTGCCTCGCAGAAATAGAAATATTCTCATACGATAAGAAAAAGAAATAGAAATATTCTGTTCTACCACGCCTCTCACATATGATAAAATCCTATTTCTTGTTCTCATAGGATAATCTACAATCCTCGTTTTCTGGTACGATTATATAGGAGTAGTATAGATAGATACCAATAAATAC